CCTCCTCCTCCTCCTCCTTCTCCTCCTCCTCCTCCTCCTCTGATCTCCTGCTTCACCATCTCTGGCAGCAGGGCATCCAGGATGCTCTCCATCGCGCCCTGGCTCCGCTCGATCGTGGCCAGCTGCCTGAACCTCCGGGGGGGGGAAGGGGCACCGATGCCGCTGGTCGTCCCAGACCCCTCGTCGCCAATGATGGATTATCCTCGGGATTCTGGTCAGAACGAGCCTCCTGAGAGGTCCGGGGAGTAGCGGTATGTGTGCTCTGCTGTCCATCCAGAACCGGGCCCGGCTGTTGTGCTCCGCCGTGTACTGCAGCCACGCCTGCCCCACGCTGCTCAACACGAATATGCTAGTCTCCGAGAAGCAGAACTTCATCGCACTCAGGCCCATCCACGAGCCGATCCTGCACACGAGGTAGCTGAGGAAAACGTAGGTGCAAGAGGGTATGAAGCGCAGAGGGTGCACCAAGGTCACCACCCAGAACGCAGTGAAGGAAAGGACCTTGAATATATTCAACCGGATATAATGGGGCGTGTCGTTCAAGAATACCTTGGTGAGACTCAAGCGCTCTGCATAGTTTGGGCAATCCAGGATGTCTTGGACAAATTGGTCGTGGTCGTGAAGAAGCATCCAATCGTTCGTCATGGCAGTGTAAGAAAGGTGAAGCAACAACACAATGGCACAATAGGAAACAAGAATGCCCGTCTGCGCCGGCCGAGGATGTGCCCGGATGAAGTCGCCAGACGCAAGTTTCTGCCAAGACTTGATGATCAACATGATCAAGACTCGGCACAACAGAAACACTTCGAACGCAGACTCCCCCCAGTATATGTGCTTGAGACTGCGGCTGGGCGCCATCACCATGAATGTGCTGTCCATTGCCGTCGTGATGCAGATGCCGAGGAAATGCCTGTCGAGCCTCTCGGGCAACTTGTGGCAGATACTGTTGATGTGGTGCCAATGAAACCACGCCTCCTCGTCCTTGTCCGACAATCGCCCCAACCCTAGGGTCCACACGGACTCCAGCAAGTTCTGGAGGGACCCCGACTCAAGACTGCTTTCGTCCGGCACGGTGAACTCCTCCAGGACCTTGGCAAGCACCTCTGCGTCCTCGTCCATGCCGGCGTCCTCGCCCTCATGGCCGCTCATCACGGACTGCGGCTTCGAACCCGCCCGAGTCGGTGCCCGCGTGAGCAGCCGCGTGGCCCGAGTCTTGGCCTTCCTGATGCGCGGCTTCGCCTCGTAGTCCGACGACTCCTCCCCAGACACCCGACGCCGTGGCAATTGTTCTGCGGTGCGCGGCCCCGGCGGGCCTCTCTCGGCCCTCCCCCGGGCGCCGGCTCTTCGGCCCGAGCTCACTGTTTCTGGAGGCCCCTATCTGGGGCCCGCGAGAAGCGGGAGGAGGAGGAGGAGGAGGCCCCTATCTGGGGCCCGCGAGGAGCCGCTATTGCAGGGCGGCAGAAAGCTCGAGGGCGCGCGCCCGTCGCAGGGTGCAGGGCACCCGGCGTCGGAGGCCCAAGGTCCCGGGTCCCGGGCGGGGCACGCGTCCGTGGCGGCCCTGTGCGCGTGTGGTTTTTGTTCTCGCGGGGGGGGGGGGGAAATCCCCCCCCCCCCCCCCTCCCCCCCCCCAACCTCGATCTCCCGTTCGGGGAGATGGACAGACCTCCCTTTCGTAAAGCGTGATTTCGTGAGAACGACCTGAGGCCCAAACCTGGCGGGCACAAGCCTGGAAAATAGCGGCCGCGGCGCCCTCTCGAGAACCGAAAACGGACAATTCACTAATCGACGTGTCACTGTTGGGGGTTCTGTCCACCCCCGACCCGTCCTGATCGACTGCGGAACTGATGTACCCCAAAATTCGTGTCCTCGGCGGCTCTTCAACAAGCATACGTCAGCCACTCGTAGACCGGCGAAACTTCTCTACGACTTGCCCTTGGACTCGGCAAGAACAATCAGTTCTGGGGCAAAGCAATTCTGTAGTCGATCTCCACTCATCACATCACGGCGGGGGGCCGCCCAGAATCTCCGGCAAGCCCGGAGGAATCCGCAGGAGGACATCGCTGCAGGCGTGGACAAAGCTTGGCGGCGCGCACGGGGGGGGGGAGGGAGGGGGGAGGGCCTCTTAGAGAAGGAAGCTGCGTCTCAGAGGTGCCGGCCTTGCATCTATAGATATGAGGCCCCGCCCCTTCTGAGCAGCAGGGGTGCTTTTAAGAAGCACCCCCCCCATCCCCGCTCGTGCGCCTCTGGCCCTGCGCGCGTGGAGGGTTTCTCCGAAGGGCTTAGGCGACCTCCTCCTCCTCCTCCTCCTCCTCCTCCCTCCCTCCTCCTCGCTCCTCCTCCTCCCCCTCCTCCTCCTCCTCCTCCTCTCCCCCTCCTCCTCCGCGCGAAGCTGAAAAACAATATGGCGTGGTCTTGGGGGGGGTGGGGGGGGGGGGGGGCGACCACGGCCGCTGTCGCGCAGACCTTATAAAACAAACAGGCTCCCGGGCCTGGGCGGGGGGGGGCCATCCATGGCGCCCCCTGCTTTCTGACAGGTCATCCTCGATCCAGCTCCTCCTCGATCCTCCTCCTCCTCCTCCTTCTTGATGCTCCCTCCCTCGATCATACACAGCTATATGTAAACTTATACATAAACTTATACACACATATAAATATATAGTTATATATATATATGTATAGGTATACATCGTATTCCTCGGTCCTCCTCCTCCTCCTCTCCCTCCTCCTCCTCCTCCTCCTCCTCCCCTCCTCCAGCCTCCTCCTCCAGCCTCCTCCTCCTCCTCCTCCTCCTCCTCCTCCTCCTCCTCCTCCTCCATCCTCCTCCACGATCTGCCTTCACCATCGGTCATGCTACTCCGCCCTCCCCCCTCGATCGCCCCGCGGTCCGGCCTCCGAAGTGCGGTCCCGTGGACCCGCGGCCACGCAGGCGCCCTCCGCGCGGGGGGGCCCTCCACCGCGGCGCCGTCCTGCCTCCGCGGCACGCCGCGGCCGAGGGGTGCGGACAGATCGAGGCTGCGGACAGGAACGCCAGCGGAGCGCAGCGAGGCCCCAAAGAGGCGCCCAGGAGGCGCCGCGGAGGCCCCCAAGAGGCTCCGAGAGGCCTCCGAGAGGCCCCTCAGAGAGGCCCCCCCCTCCTGCTGCTCCTCCTCTCCCTCCTCCTCCTCGTCGTCGCCTTCGAGGTCGGCCGCGCCAGCCGGAAGGCCTTCACGCTACAGTCGGAATGTGGCCAGCAAAACTGCAGGTCAAGAGCACGAGCCCCTCGTCCCAGGGCCCGCGATCCCATCGAGATCCCCTCAGCAAAACGCATTCCGAGGTGCGAGTCCAGACGCGGCGGTCAGAAGGGTACCCATCCAAAACGGAGTCGAAGAACGGCAGCAACGACTCGGGAGCCGCTTGATTCATGGCGACTGCCGCTTGAGTTCCACCGGAGCCCGCCGAGGGCGCGCACACACGTGCGAGGAGGGCGGGGCCCTCAGCCGGGGACCGCGCCAAAAGGCATGCTTCGGGCGCCCCCGGGGGCCTGGGCCGAGCTCAGCGAGTGGTCGCGGAGCATGGCCTCCAGGGACGACCTCCGCCGGGCGCCGCCGCCGGAGCCGCGCGCGCTGCCGGGGCTGGGCTGACAGCCCGGGTGGTCCAGCAGGAAGGCCTCGACGCTGCCCTTGCCCTTCAGCTCGATGAGGCCCCTGCTCCTCACCTGCGCCCACGGGGGCAGCCAGCGCCTGACAGCGAGAGCGCGGGGGGAGGCGGCACTGCCACCGCCAGCGCTGCGAGCCCGGGGTGGTCCTACTGGTGGCGTGGTCACCCCTGCTCCCCCCGCTCGAGGCCTCCCCCATCCCCAGCCTCGGGGAGGCATCGTGGACATCCTCGCTGGAGGTGGCACCCTTGGTGGTGGTGGTGGTGGTGGTGGTGGTGGTGGTGGTGGTGGTGGTGGTGGTGGTGGTGGTGGTGGTGGTGGTGGTGGTGGTGGTGGTGTCGCTTCTGCTTCCCCAGATTGTGGGCCGGCGAGAACGCAGAAGCGGCCCCCAGGCACGAGTGGCCAGTGGTGCGCGGCCTGCTTGCCGCTGCATGCGAATAGCGACCGTGGGAATGTGTGCCCAGGCTCGGCCCCCGCGGCCCCGGACGGGGCCGCCCCACGGCCCAGAGGCCACTCCAGCGAAGGACGGGAAGCGAGGCGTGGCAGGCCCGCCGACTGCGGCGGGGCCTCTCGGCAGCCCTCGCGCCTCCTGGGAGGCCCTGCGGGCCTTCCCCGCAGCCGGCGACGGCGTCTCCGACGGTCTCCGGCGGCCGGGGGGGGGGGCTTCCCAGGAGCCCCGCCGCCTCTCGAGCAGGCCCGGCGGCCCGCCCCCCCGTCACTTCCACGCCCCGCGTGCCGCCGAGAAGGGTCACTCTGGCGTGCAGCCGGCAGCTGGAAGCCGCCAAGATGGAGCCGGAGCAGGCGGGGTCAGGGAAGCCCGCCGCATCGCCGATGCATCGGCGATGCGGCGGCAATGCGTCGGCGATGCGCCGGCGACGTCGGGATGGAGAAGAGCCAGCCCCGAATCGAACCACGTCGCCTGTGCGGCGCGATCCTCGGACCCCACCTGCTCCAGCCCCGTTCGGAGGGCTGGAGCCTGGTGTCTTCGCTCATCTGCAGCTCGCCCGGCAGCCCTTTCTGCATGTAGCGCGCGGCGGTGTTGATGGTGTCTCCGAAGAGCCGAAATCTCGGCAGCTTCCTGCCGATTACCCCTGCGACCAGCGGCCCAGTGTGGACCCCCATCTTCAGCTGGACTCCCTCCTCGGATGCCGCCAAAACGGGACCAGCGTAGGAGCCAATGCTCCAGTGTTCAACTTCGCGAGAAAGCTCTGCCCCTGTCCCTTCCGACCGTGGTCTCGTCACGATTCACGCCAGTGTCGTTTGGGAATTAGCAATTATCTAACATTCCCCGACGGCGCCGGCGCGAATCGTGACGTGACTGGCCCCCTCCCTCCTCCCCTCCCCCAGTCACGCCCGTCATCTTATAGGCGCACCCGCGGAACGCTCTCGCCGAGACGCAGCTGCTAAAGAGAACCTCGAGGCTGGGAAACCGCCGAGAGGTCACGAGGAAAGGTCCTCGAACCTCGAACAACGAAGGCACCGACCGCGGCATAACGCCTCGGGCCTCGAATATGTCCGGCAGCAAAGAATCTTGGGTGGCATGGACCCCAGACCTTGAAGGTCGCTGGGGGGGCAGCGTTGTTTCGAGGGCCGGATCCCCGTACGCTCGGCGGACGCGCTTGATCGGTCAACGGCAATCCTTCCAGCCGCCCTTCGCGAGAAGCTCTGATTTCAGGTCTGCCCTTGCCGACGATTGGGCTGCTCATGCTTGCTCTTGCCCAACAAAAGCATTGCCCCAGAAACACAGATCGCGTTCGCTGCCCCTCGGCGAGCTTCAACCCAGACCCCCGACGCCATGATTCTTTCAGTGCTTCGACCCCTGAGGTCTGGGCCCATTCCCCCGGACCGCCTTTTCGTCCCGAGTCCTTTCTTGACGGCCCTGAGGGCCGGCAAGGGCCCGTGGACGCCCAAATAGCGAAAGACCTCCCGCCATGCTTTGTCCATCGTCCGAGGTGAGGATCTGAACTCTATATACAGCGACGCCTTTTTCGGGCCCCGCACCGAAACTCGCACAGGAGAGAGGATCCTGGTGTATACGGGATCCTGGTGTATACACGTGTCGTTTCCCCAAGGAGAACGGAGGAAAAGCATACACCACACCACCCCGACGTCGCCCCCGACCCTCAAAAAGTCCTGGGATTGAAAAGCAGACCGCCACTGGTAAGCTACACGTAAGCAAGCAAGCAAGAAGGCCATGCATCCTGAAGGACGCGTGGGCTGGCAAGGACACTCATGGTTCCTGCCGTGATTCGCTGCGACATACAATCGGCGCCAGAGCGGATTGGACTAAACAGCCCGAGAGGAGGAGGAGGAGGAGGAGGAGGAGGAGGAGGAGGAGGAGGAGGAGGAGAAGGAGGAAGAGGAGGAAAATATATATATATATCTTTCTATATATATATATATACATATATAAATGTATTCCTATTTCCGACGAAAGGGTCTGGGACTCCTGCTGCACGGTGGCCAGGATGCGCAGGGCCATGCTCACCAGCCGGCCCAGCACGGGGCCGTGGTCCTCGCGCTGGTCCTCGGGGGAGACGCCGACCGCGGCCACGTACTCCTCCGCGACCGTCTCGATCTTGGTCACCCGGTTGGCCTTTGAGGATATGCTTGTTGATTATTGCTTGTTGTTGTTGGTGGTGGTGTTGTTGCTGGTGGTGATGTTGGTGTTGTGTGTTGTTGTTGCTACTGCTGTTTGTGTTGATGCTGTTGGTGTTGTTGTTGTTGCTGTTGTTGGTGTTGTTGTTGTTGTTGTTGTAATTGTAAGTGTTGTTGCTATTGTTGCTGTTGTTGTTGTGTGTTTGTGTGTTTGTGTGTTTGTTTGTGTGTGGTTGATTGTTGGTTTGTTTGTTTGGTGTAAGTGCCGTTGTTGATGGTGTAAGTGTTGCTGGTGTTGGGCAAGCAGCGTTTGCCTTTGATGTGAATGAGTTAGCGGTCTTATGTGCGTATATGTATTTATGTATACATATATACATTCCTCACACAATGTTTCCGCTTTACTTCGGCTGCGTGTTTTTCCCCAACCATCCTTGTGTTGGGTTCTCGTTTTGAAGAGACGGTCCCCATGTTCCTTTCTCTCCTTCCTCTCCTCCATCCTCTCCTCCTCCTCCTCCTCCGCCTCCTCCGCCTCCCTCCTCCCGTCACCCCCTTGCCCTTTAGCAAGCCCCTCTTATGCTTCGTGGCCCCATGGGGAGCTCCACCGAAAACACCAGCGCAACCGTACACATGCGTCCCCACACCCATTTCGGCACACCACTCACACGATTCGTGGACCCAGGAGCTCCACCGAAGGCCCCAGTGCCACCGTCCACATGCGTCCCTCGCACCCATTTCGGTACACCCCTCACATGTTTCGTGGCCCCATAGGGGGCTCCACCGAAGGCCCCAGTGCCACCGTCCACATGCGTCCCCCGCGCCCATTTCGGCACACCAGTACCACCGTCCACATGCGTCTCCCACACCCATGTCGGCACTACCCATGTCGGCACCCCCCATCACACGTTTCGTGGCCCCATAGGGAGCTCCACCGAAGGCCCCAATGCCACAGTCCACATGCATCCCCCACATCAATTCCGGCACACCCCTCACACGCTTCGTGACCCCATAGGGAACTCCACCGAAGGTCCTAGTGCCACCGTCCACATGCATCCCCCACACCAATTTCGGCGCACCCCTCACATGCTTCGTGGCCCCATAGGCGGCTCCACCGAAGGCCCCAGCGCCACCGTCCACATGCGTCTGCCACACTCATTTCAGCACACCCCTCACACGCTTCGTGTCCCCATAAGGAACTCCATCGAAGGCCCCAATGCCACCTTCCACATGCGCCCCCCCACAAACATTTCTGCACACCTCGCACACGATTCGTGACTCCACAGGGAGCTCACCGACGGTTCCACTGCCACCGCCCGCATGCGCCCCCCACACCCATGTCGGCACACCCCTCACACGTTTCGTGGACGCACAAGGAGCTCCACCGAAGGTCCCAGTGCCACCATCCACATGCGTCCGTCGCACATATTTCGGTACACCTATCACATGTTTCGTGGCCCCATAGGGAGCCCCACCGAAGGCCCCAGTGCCACCGTCCACATGCGTCCACCGCACCAATTTCGGCACACCCCTCACACGTGACGTGGCCCCATAAGGAGCTCCACCTAAGGCCCCAGTGCCACCGTCCACATGCGTCCCTCGCACCCACATTTCGGCACGCAACGCTTCGTGACCCCATAGGGAGCTCCACCGAAGGCTCCAGTGCCACCGTCCACATGCATCCCCCACACCCATCTCGGCACACCCCTCACACGCTTCGTGACCCCATAGGGAACTCCACCGAAGGTCCCAGTGCCACCGTCCACATGCGCCCCCCACACCAATTTCGGCACACCATTCACTCGTTTCGTGGCCCCATAAGGAGCTCCACCGAAGGCCCCAGAGACACCGTCCACATGGGGCCCCCACACCAATTTCGGCGCACACCTCGAACGCTTCGTGGCCCCACTGGGTTCACCACCGAAGGCCCCAGAGCCACCGTCCACATGCGTCCCCCTCACCCGTTTCGGCACACCCCTCACACGTTTCATGTCCTACAAGGAGCTCCACCGAAGGCCCCATCACTGTCCACATGCGTCCCCCACACGCATCTCGGCACACCCCTCACAAGCTTCGTGGCTTCATAAGGAGCTCCACCGAAGGCCCCAGTGCCAGTTCGACCCCCCCCCTCACACGTTTCGTGGCCCCATAGGGAGCTCCACCGAAAGTCCCAGTGTCAACGTCCACTTGCGTCCCCCACGCCCATTCCGGCCATTACAGGGTTCGTGGGCCCATGGGGAGCCCCACCGAAGCCCCAGTACCCCCGTCCACATGCGTCCCCCGCATTAATTTCGACACATCCCTCACACCCTTCGTGGCCTCATAGGGAGCTCCACCGAAGGCCCCAGTGCCACCGCCCGCATGCGTTCTCCACACTCATTTCGGCACACCCCTCACACGCTTCGTGGCCCCATAGGGAGCTCCACCGAAGGCCCCAGCGCCACCGTCCACATGCGCCCCCCAGACCCACGTCGGCATACCCCTCACACGTTT